TTGGAGCAGTATTTCTATATATATGGATTGATCAGAAGGAATCGAGCTGTGACAACCACTGTGAATCAAATCCTGGGTAGATTTTATTTCAAGTAAATTGATGTAATAACCGAAACGTGGCTAGATGATCGAATCCATTCACCCAACCGGGACATGTACGATTCTATTACAGATTTGCATGAACAGTATATGCAGAATTTTCAATTTTGCGATACAAGAAAATGTGGTTTCCGGAAGGATTTTAAAATCATTTTGTAACTTTTATGTTATGTTTTTACTATTTTTGCCTAATTATAATTGTGTGGCAAGCAGTGGTGATAAAAATCATTTATTCTACACTCAACTTTGCTGAAAATGAAGACAACCTTACCAGATAGATCAACTGCCTGCATGAATTTGAATTTTGACAAGTGTTTTAAAGCTTAACGATATCAAAGGTTTTAAAAAATCGATATTTATCGGTATTTACTATTTCAACTAATTTCATATTTTTGCTAGCGGCGCCGGCGGTGTAGTGGTAAGCGCGATTGCCTCTCACTCCAGCAGGCCTGGGTTCAATCTCAGTCGGCACCGCCGGTATGTTCTGAGGCATAACATCTCTGGTCGTTTGTGAATACTAAGAGGAAGGAAACTGGACTGCCGTCAAAAATGTTTCTCGGCAATGACGTAGCATTGACAACTGAGGACAAATGCAGCCTATTTGCTAGGCACTTCTTAAGCGTCTTCTCGAATGACTCCCCATCGCAAGCAGAAATTGAGCGAGCCGTCCGTGATGTGCCAACCGACGTCGTAAACATGGATGTTTTTGTCGTAGATGTACAAATGGTTCTCTCTGTGATGAGTAAAACCAAATCATCATTTTCACCAGGTCCGAGTGTTATTCCATCTGCAGTCCTAAAAAAATGCTCCGATATCTTAGCTGCTCCGTTGTCCTTGCTCTTCAACCTGTCACTTCGTCAACAGAAATTTCCCGCACTATGGAAACGGTCTACTATGTTCCCTGTTTTCAAGAAAGGAGACAAACGCAATGTGGAAAACTACCGTGGGATTACCTCGCTTGGGGTTGAATCTAAGGTGTTTGAGTCGCTGATAAATGAGAGATTGTTTGCTTCCTGCAAGCATTACATAAGTACATGTCAACATGGTTTCTTTCCTGGCCGCTCCGTGGAAACTAATCTCGTCAGCTTTACGTCGTTCTGTATGGAAAATGTATGCAAGAAACTTCAAGTGGATGCCATCTACACTGATCTTAAAGCTGCGTTTGATAGAGTTGTGCATGACGTTCTGCTAGCAAAGCTTGAAAAAATTGGATGTTCTGTTTCCTTCTGCAGCTGGCTTAGATCGAACCTCGTGCAACGTGAAGTTACTGTATGCATTGGAAACTACTCATCGTACTGTTTCTCGAATAGATCAGGAGTTCCACAGGGTAGCACTTTGGGACTAATGCTCTTCTCTTTATTTGTGAACGATGTAACGTTTATTCTACTACGAGGAGGTAAATTGTTTTTTGCCGATGACTTGAAGATTTATCTAGTCGTTCGAGGCTATGCCGACTGTTTAGAACTACAAAACCTTCTTGAAATCTTTAATGATTGGTGTGAACGTAATTTTATGGTCCTGTGCGTCTCAAAGTGCTGCGTAATTAGTTTCCGTCGAACTAGGACTGCCATTTTGTTTGATTATAACGTTGCTGGAACTGCAGTTCAACGTGTCGATCACGTTAAAGACCTCGGTGTTATGTTAGATGAAAAGCTCACATACACTCGCCACTTCTCAACCACGATCGACAAAGCTAATCGACAGCTTGGATTCATGTTCAAGATATCTAAGGAATTTCGTGATCCTCTGTGTTTTAAAGCCCTTTACTGTTCATTGGTACGCTCACTACTGGAATTCGCGAGTGTAGTCTGGAATCCCTACCAAGCTGTATGGAGTGGACGATTCGAAGCTGTTCAACGCAAATTCGTCAGATACGCACTGCGCTATCTTCCATGGAGTGACCCGCTGAATTTACCACCGTATGCTGACCGCTGTCGTTTACTGGGTTTGGATACTCTTGCTAAGCGACCTTGCTACATGAAGTAGTACATGCAACCAACTATGCTGCAAACAGTTCCTTTGTCGCCATGATTCATCAATTCAACGAAGCCTCTGACCTATTTGACTTTGACATCAATGCCTCGATGTTTCGTCATCGTTTGCTGTTGACCAATTTTTAATTTTTAATGAGTGACTACATTTAGATTTAAGTGTTTCATTGAGACTATCAAGTCAGATGGACTATAATAATAATAAATAAATCACGCCTTCTTTCGGAAGGGAAGTAAAGCCGTTGGTCCCCGGTCCATGAGTTAATGGGTCGATAGGTAGGGTCCATCCAGGTGTGGCATTGGTGCTCAGCACGGAAAACAAATCAAGGAAAAAAATATATAATTTTGCCGTTTTTGAAAGCGAAAATTTTAACTTTTGGGCTATAATCGGAAAATTCCCGGAAGAAAACTCAGTTGAATGTTTGAATTAGCGTCTGGAGGAAGCTGAAAACTAAATCCAGAGAAAGCAGAAAGAAGCTTTTCTGTAGGAAATTTGAGGAAAGTTCTGAGAGAAGTCATCATCCGTGGAACTTCCACGACATAAATTGAGAAACTGCTGGCAAAAATTTAAAGAAACTGTCAGAAAAAGAATGGATTTCACATTCAAAGGAAGACAGAAAAGTTTCGGAAATTGGAAGTAAATTCCAAATTTAGCCATTTCCAAGGGCAGCTTCGAAAAAACCTTCCAATAGAAGTCAAAAAAAACTGAACAAAACTCCAGAACTAGCCGAAAGAAATTTCTGGGAGAAGTTTAACTTTCTGGAGAAGACGGAAGAAACTTCCTGGAGACACTGGCAGAAACTTCCTAAGGTAGGTTGGAAAACAATTTGGAAGAAGTCGGAAGCCAGAGCGCTAACGGAACAGTCGAAAGAAACAAGGACATAATTCCGGAAGAAAGAGCCCTTGAGGACATCCCCAATGATCCAGAAAATTTTCCAAATGGTCTTAAATACCCTGAAGACCCCGCAATGCCCCTGACGTTTTTGGAACATTCCTGAAATGTACTTAGGAATATTCCATTTTTCATCGGAATTCTTTAAAAGTTTATGAAATTTTCCTTAAGTTAACAGGGCTGTTTTGGAGTACTCTGATCTTCTTTGAAATACTTTGAATTTTCCTGAATATAATGAGACTACCGGAATATCTCTAATCAACTTTGAAGGTCTCTGGACTTTCTTGAAGATTACGAAATTTCTTAAGCGCTCTCACAATTTTCTTGAATTTATTGTAACATCAGCATTGAAGTTTTCTGATTTTTTTCTTATTTTCCAAAGTTATCGACACTGCCATTAATAAGCACGTAACTTCCCATAAAATGTTCTCAAAATGTGCTAATGTTCATGTAACTTCCCTTACGTTTCTTAAATTTGCATGAGCCTCTCGGAACATTGCTGAAGTTTTCGGAACTCCTTTAAAATTTCAGCGATTTCCTTGAAATGTATTGATCTGTCCTGATGTTTTCGGACCTTCCTAAGGTTCTCTCAATTCTCCTCAAACTAAACTGTCCTGAAAACCATTAAATTTTCCAGAAGTTCTTAAGCCTTGTGAAGTATCCAAAAGATTTATGATGTTTCCTTAAGTTCACTGAAGTTCACTGGACTTTCCTGAAATTTCCGGGTTTTAGAATTTTAACAGAAGTTATTGAAACATTCTTTAATTAATCGAAACTTACTCAAAAGCCTGGACTTTTCTGAAGTTTCAGAACTTCTTAAAAGTTCCTGCAGGTAGTGTGGATCCGCAATCAAAATCTGGAAGTGTTGAAGTGAATTCTCCTCGTCAAGGCGAAAAACAAGCAGAATCGAGACCAGTCCAGCGAATGCGGTTTCGAAAGCGGCAGAATAAAAAGAGGACAAGTTTTAACTTTTAATCTTTTATTTTCCGATATTAGCCGTGTGCGATACAAAAATTAACTGAGCTCATTCACGAATGGGCTGCTTTATTTACACTCATTCACCGATCCGACAACGTATAATGGGCGGAGCGTTGCGCGCTATTCTACGTTTTCTTCTTGTAGGTTGCCTTTGTTGGTGTGCGTCGCTTCTACTGCTGCCGCTGCTTCTGTTGGTGTGCGTCGTTCGGTTTCATTTGGCAGTCTTTCCGGAGCGAACGGTTCGGTCGCGAACATATTCCCCCCAGGCTGCGAAGAATTCACTGAATCGATGTTTTGGTCGTCATTGTCAGCAATCGGAAGGACGGATAATTTGGATACCGCTCGTCTATAGATGGAACCTTCGACGTTGATGTCTACCGCTCGCACCAAATTGTCGGAACCTGGGTAAATCTGGACGACCTTTCCCATCTTCCAACATTGCGGTGGGATATCCTTCTGCTCAAGCAGCACGATCATACCAGGGCGAATGTTTGGTTGTCTTTGGCGGTTTTTTCCCCTCAGTTGCAAGTTCAACAAGTAGTCCTGGCTCCATTGTCTCCAGAACTGCTCACGGAGGTCCTGTAGATACTGCCATCTTGACAGGTGATTGGTTGGTATCTCATTGTACATAGCTAGGCTCCGGCGTGGCTATCAGAGGACGGCCAATCAAAAAATGGCACGGTGTCAAAATTTCGTCGTCCGGGAATCCACCTCGTTCAAGTAGCTGTTGAATTTAGGTTTGACTTGCGATGGCTTCCTCTACGGTGTTCACACCTAAGATGACCTCATCGACGTAACAATCTAGGCGGATGATTCGTGCAGCGAGTGGAAATGAGTCGCCTTCATCGTCACAGAGCTGTACCAAACATCTGGTCGCCAAGAATGGGGCTGCAGCTGTCCCGTAAGTAACGGTTGTGAGTTCAAGGACACGGAGGGGTTCTTCCGGGCTTGACCGCCAGAAAATTCGTTGGAAACACGCGTGAAGTAGTGCCATGCGTATCTGTCGAAACATTTTTGAAACGTCAGCAGTGAATACTATCCTATACTTCCGAAAAACGTAACAGGATACTGAAGATGTCGCTTTGCAGTGTTGCTCCAACTAGAAGAACGTCGTTCAATGACTTCTCGGACCGGGATGCCTTGGCAGAGGCGTCGAAAACAACTCGAATTTTAGTTGTCGAGCTCGATGGACGTAGGATGGCTTGATGCGGGAGATAATACACTCGTTGATTGGGAGTATCATCGGCTTCGTTCACCTCTTGACAATGCCCCAATGCTTCATACTCATCGATGAATCGACAATACTGTTTCTTTAGCTCCGGATTTTTCTTGAATCTTCGCTCTAACGAAAGGAACCGATGCATGGCCAAGTTTCGGTTGTCTCCTAGCTCGTGCACCGATTCGCGGAATGGCAAACTCACCTCATATCTGCCAGTCTCATCACGACTATGGGTAGACTGGAATACTTTTTCGCACTCATCTTGCTCGCTGGGTTGTGTTACTGACTCAGAGATCTCTTCCAGCTCCCAGAATTGGCGAAGGACTTCAGAAATAGGATCCGTCAGGGCAGCTAGACACTGCTGGGGGGTTGACACGTCGTCGATGTCTCCTGCAACTACCCATCCTAAATGGGTTTCTTGTAGTTCAGGTAACTTATCACTCAGTTGAATACGGCCCGTCTTTAGCAATTGCAAAAAATGGGAGATACCGATTAGCATATCGATATCGGAAGGAGTGTGGAAGTTGGGGTCTGCCATAAGTAGATCGGTGTCGATTGGCCACGCCGAAACGTTGATTTTCATTGCTGGAATCGCTCCCGTTATCTCAGGAACTACGAGGCATTCGATAGTAGTACAGAAATCGGAATGCCTGGACTCCACTTCCACCATCATCTTCTCCTTGGCGTAGGTTTTGGACCCACCTATTCCAGCGATGGGTACATGTGCAGGCCGTCTTTCGGTGGCCAAGCGGTCAGCCATTGCCTTGGATAGGAAGTTGACTTGCGAGCCGTTATCCAACAGAACACGGCAGGGAGTTGTCCATCCACGAGAATCCTTGATTCGCACCACAGCGGTCATGAGCATCACTGTTTTGGCAGCTTTAGAATGGTTACACGACGCAACAGTTTCGGTGACTCGTTGAGACTCCAAATGGTTCTTGGAAGAGGTTTGGCAAGCTAGTTCTTCATTTTGGATGGTTGGTGCCACCTCCACTGCATTCGAATCAGCTTCTTCATGCAACAGAGTGTGGTGTCTTCTCTGGCAGCGAGAGCACGTCTTTTTGGATGAACAATCAATGGCTCGATGACCAGGGCGAAGGCAGTTGAAACAGATTCTCAACTCCTTCACTTTTTCATTCCGTTGAGCCGGTGACATTTGATGGAACTTCGGGCATTCGAAATGGCGATGGTAGCCTGTACATAACTGGCAGGAACTGCTGGAGGTTACAGTCGTTGCAGCGTGGGCTTTCTGGTTAGTTGGTTTCGAACCCTGTTGTTGCCTTGGCAATGGCTCTTTTGCCGTCATCTGGTGCCGGTTTTGGAACCTTTCCAACACCTGGCATTCGCTTCGAAGAAAGGCCACAGTTTCTTGGTACTGGGGCAGCTTGGCATGCTGCTGTGTCCTCTCCCATAACTGGAGTGTTTGATCGTCCAATCGTGAAGTGAGGATCTTCGTGAGGATGAGACCAGATAGTTCATCAACTTCTAGTCCCTGGTACTCGAGACCGCCAACATGACGGATGAATATCTTCATTAGCTCGAGTAAATCTTTATGGTTGCGGGTGGTCATCGGTTTCATCTCGAGCAAACCTTCGATATGCGTATCGACGATTACTCGTGGGTTTTCGTACTGGTCACTGAGCTGTTGCCAGGTTTGTTTGAAGTTGTTGTCAACGATCATTTCTGCCGTAATCCAACCGGAGGCATCACCCGTTAGCGCCTTATCGAGATGATGCAGCTTAACTGCATCGGAATCGGCGCTCCGTCCGACAATATCCTCAAACATCATCCGAAATTTCGGCCAATTTTCTACCTTCCCGTCGAATGTGGGAACTGGAGCTCGCAGTGATTGCTGCTGGATGATCACGGATTGATTTACACCTCTAGCATCGGAAGGGGAAATGGTGTCGGTGAGCAGTTCAAGCAAGGTAAGCGAGTTGGTATTGAGAGCGTCGAAAATATCCAAAGCATCATCTTCCAGTTCAATCTCATTGGGGGGTGTGGAAGCAACTATTGCTTGGTGAATTGAAATGAACTCGTTATAATGTAGTTCGAGCTTTTTCGAGAACACTTTCAAGAGCGATGCACAAATTTTACTTGGAGTATCCTCAGCTTCTTCAAGTGTGCGACTTATCGTTGTCACCTTTGCCTGAATTTGGCGACGCTGGTGAACTAATGCTGCCTTGGCATCATCTTCTGCCTCCTGCTTGGTAGACTTTCTCGTTTTCGGCATTTTGATCCACTTTTTCCACACTGGAATTCAATGTCGACACGACACTGGTTGGTTATCCGGTTCGGTAGGACCATATGTTGGCGCGCTCCTTGGCACCAAGGCGGTGAATTCTCCTCGTCAAGGCGGAAAACAAGCAGAATCGAGTCAGTTGGTCGACCTGTCCAGCGAATGCGGTTTCGAAAGCGGCAGAATAAAAGGAGGACAAGTTTTAACTTTTAATCTTTTATTCTCCGATATTAGCCGTGTGCGATCGGTATAAAACCTCAAAAACCGGTATTCTGAGGAACCTTATCTGTATATCGGTATCTAGTTCGGTATAAATCGGTATATCTGGCAACGCTGTTTGATATATCCACATTCTATTGATCAAGGCAACCTCTGAGTATCGAAGTCAACATTTCAAGCTAAACATTGTATTAGGTTCTAAGTAACATTGATCGACTCTCTTCGTCGACTTTCTCTTTCGTTAATAACTTGAGCACATAACCGTTTCTTATTGTGTTTTTCGGGCCAGATAAAACCTTCTCTTATCGATCTATGTTCTGAAAATACCTGGGAATGTCTTTACATGGCCGTGGCGATGCAAAGAGAAAGTCAATGAAGAGAATCTTTCAATGTTACTTAGAACAAAATGCAATGTACAGCTTTATTTGTGTTTGTCATAGGATTGGGCGATCTTCAGAGAAAGATCGATCTTGACGGATCGATATTATATTTGACTCAAGAATCGATCCACTCTGGTAGATCGAACTTTTGATTTTTATTTTAATACGCTTGTTTACGTTGGATTTAAAATAATAAGGCGCAGAAAATAAATAAAAAAAAAGGGTTGAGGTTGGGATTGAACTCGCGACCTTCTAGTTGGAAAGCGGAAACGGTAACCATTATGCTACCAATTTCGTTTTGTTGTTAGCCTGAAACAGTGTTGCGGAATAATGAATATATACGCCGTTTGTTAAGCATTTCCAAAGCATGCAATTAAAACATGGACGCATAGTGGTATAAGAGCTATTATGCTGAATGTATTCACCTTTATTCAGCAATATTGTTAAGCAATGCAATGGAATCTAATAATGGAGCTAGAAAACAATTATTAGACGTATAATAAAGCATGTTATTAAATCAATTGAAAACAGTTGAATTAAAACGTCAATGTATGTGCAAATTACACTTATTCAGTATGTTATTAGATTAAACTTCTGGTGTTTAATCAGGAAGGCAGTCATCGTTTTTTTTTTTTTTTTCCTTTGGTTTGTTTTTTCCGTCGATCTTGTTTTCCGTGCTGAGCACCAATGCTACCGACGTGCCAGGAAGGCAACTCCCACACCTGGACCCTACCTATCGACCCATCAACTCATGAACCGGGGACCAACGGCTTTACTTCCCTTGATCAGAGGTGTTTTGCCTCAGAACATCCCGGTGGCGCCGACTGAGATTGAACCCAGGCCTGCTGGGGTGAGAGGTAATCACGCTTACCACTACACCACCGGCGCCGTTGAGACAGTCATCGTTTGTACAGCTTTTAATAAGTATATTAATCAAATCAGAGCAAACAGCGGAATAAAAGCGCATCTATCGATCTCAACGAGGTTTTTTCAGCACATATTTTGACAACCCGTTTTATTCAGCATTGTACACTGTTATAAAGCATTTATTCAAAATAAATGCTTATTTGTGACTCTGAATTGTTTGTTAGGATAAACGAGTGTCAAATTTGACAGAACATTGAGTCATATCAGATGCGGAATTCAGCTCAATCAAACGTACTTTTCGTCGAATAATTATAATATTACACTTCATTACGACTTAATATTACATTACCAGTTTGTTTACGTCTCATCTTTTATGTGAAAGATGGATTCCGTCCAGGCATGGAAAATCATTTGCATTCATATCGTGCATTCATTTACATTCATTTGCCCCTAACTTTTTTCATCAACAGAATTCCGCAAAATAATGTATAGGGCTTTTGTAGGTTTTGTTATTAGCTTCAATTTTTGTTAACAACATAAATCCGTATCTCTTATGCATGACGAACCAGAGCGAACAGAATTCACTATTGTTTTTCAGTGAATGTATTTTACATTCACTGAAAAACAGCAACAAGTTCTGCCTGCTATAATTCATTATGCATAAGAGATACAGATTTAAGTTATGGGTAAAAGTTGTAGCTAATAACAAAACCTACTAAAGCTCTATACATCATTTTGCGGAATGCTGTTGATGAAAAAAGTTAGAGGCAAATGAATGTAACTGATTTTCCATGCCTGATACCGTCACGTGTAAAATTAATTATTCCTAAGTGTGCCTCGTAGTGCTCATGGATCCACTCAACAATGTGGATCAGATGAGCGCATGGAGTGATCATAGATCCGTCCTAAATTGTGGGATATTTCAGCTATTGTTGATGAAAGTGAGAAGAAAATTGGTCGCCAAAGATCTAAAGTTGTTTTCAGTTATATGTGACCGCCATCTGGTATAAGGAATACAATAGTTTTATAACGTTCGATTTAGGTACATAAGCTCTGTGCCCATCATCTATTCAAATGTACTTGACAAGCGGACACGAAAAAAAATGGCTCGATTATCCGGGTGATTCGATTATTCGCAGTGACATTTTTTTTAAGCCTCCGGATAATCGAGTCTGACCTGTAGCTGGTCCAATCAAATCAAGATGTCTCTCGAAAAATCAATCACTTCTATTTGCGCATCGATACTACAATGTCTAAAGTACAAAGAGAATGATATACATTCAAACGATGGTTTTCGCCCAATGAAAACATTCCCACATGATTTGATTAATCGCTTTATCATTGCTGCCATGCTCACAAGTGGATTCATAAAAAAATATCCATACAATCAGTGCAGCTTCTGCGTTACATCACTGCTGCATAAAACACATCGGAGCGTCGAAACAAAACGAGAGGAAAATCATAAAATGTTTTGATTTATTTGCCGATTGTATCAATCTCGGTTTCGGCTGGCTTTCTCCCTGGTCTCTGGTCTGGACCATTACTGATAAACACCTCTCTCCCCTATCGTTCGAATTACGCCAGCCGGACCGCTTGCGCTGGAACTGTGCAAAAGAGTACCATTCCCGTGTTACAGCAGCTCGCACTATCTCTTCTACAAAATCACATTCGAAGCTACTTTTTTTACGATTCCCTACCATCGTAAATTTGCCTTTGGCACAGTCTGCGAGGACCGAACCAGAAAGACAGAAAGCGAATCTAAAAAAAGTGCACCCCAAACGTCCAACTCCTGTGACGCCGACGACATCGTGGACGAGGATCGTCCAAAATCAACGCCCAAATATTGGACAAAATGTTAGATCAATATCGATTCCGTATGGTGCAGAGGCTTTCTCTCTCTGTCTTCTGGAACCATCCTTTGAGGACGATGATAGCAGGGGTTTGCGTGGTTGTTGTCTGACTGGAAAAAGGAAACCCGAGTTGGATGTAACATTATGGTGCCTACTGGTTTGGAGGTTGATATACTTTTTTTCTCCAATCGCTTCATGTACAATTCGCGCTTCCATACATCTGTCTCTGATGACCGGAGCGGCCGCTTCAAATTACGTCGGTCGTCGTCTCCAGTAGTAGCAGCATGAAGCGAAAGAGTGGACGAGTGTTTTTGCTTGGAACAGCCACAGCCATTAGGCCTACGCTATTATTGCACGACGGATTGCAATTTCGGACACCAATGAATTTGGAATAGATTTCTGTGTTTTCGTTGGAGATGTTGCTTCCCGGGGGACAGTGGAGATTGTTTCAAAGGCGTAAACGAAGAGGAATGTCGTTTGAAATCAGGAACGTATTGAAATCGAATGCCGATTTGTTTGCGAATGACTGCCAACTATGAAGGATTTAGATTGCAGTGGTTGAAGAATTGGTGACCGTTTCCTGGTGAGTTTTGGTTCTTGACCTGAATCCTGATTACAAAATCAGCTAGTGTTAATGTCAAGTTTGTGAATTAGGTGTTCGCGTGAGCGTTCTTGAATTTAACCTTTTGAGACACAAAACAAAAAATTATCCAGAAACAAAATCGTTAGGCTTTTTCACAATAGCTTGTATGTCACATCAATTGTACCCACTGACTGTCAATCATTTTTTTCATGACATTTGATCAATCATTTTTTTTCTTCTAACTGCTGTGACAAAAAATCCTCAATTGACGAAATGTCTGTCTTCACAAACTAAACTATTAGTGAAGGACTTTAGGTCATACAAAATGTTTTCTTCCAGATTTCGAAATCTAGCACGTATTTAGTAATATATGGAAATATGCACTTATAATTGATTATAAATCAGAAGGATCGCACCAAATTCTGCCTCCGAAAAAGCACCGGTTTGTTCACTCGTGGTAATCGAAAAAATCTTCCGCGTTGTTTTTACAACCGAACACGACATTTTGAATCACACGCGAAGTTTTTCATTTGCACCGAATTTTTGCCTGACACCTCATTTGCGTGCATCCTCTGGAAGGCAGAACGCCAGCACCAAGAAAAGAAAAAAAAAACCGGTAAAACTCTTCTTGGGAGGGAGACAAAGCACGCGACACCACAGCAACACAGCTACTCGAAACAAATTCTTGTCCCAGATTTTGACGTAGGAAAAACTTTAAATGATCTTTATTTATTTTAGTTTAACTTCGACGATTACCATATAAATTTTTACTAAGTGATTTAATGATTTCTTCATCTTTAGGTATGGGCAAAATTCAAAATTTGTTTTACAGAATTAGTCCTAGACTTAGTACACGGTCGACCACCTTGGTGGGATTGGTTTGTTTTGTTTTTAGAATTTGAAGAGAAACTACTTAATACTACTATTTACAGCTTAAAACTAACCTACTCTACTATATACACTTAACCTACTATGTACAAATTGCTTATTAAAGCATGTTCAGAAAGATTGCATTTTTGAATAAATTTAGTTGTCATATCATCAATTTTGGAATCTACTTTGGGAGTTTCTGCCTCTTGATGGAGGTCTGCTATT